GCTTCCTCAACCGCGGTGTTTGATTCTGGAGCTATAGCGTCAACGTCCTCATCTTCCTCCTCGGCTGCCAAGTCCCTGATTTAGAGAAATGAAATAAGCAGAATAAACAGAATATTACTGTTGTATTGTTTTCATTCATTTCATTTTTATTTTCCCCATGTACAATCCAAATGACAAATATTACGTCGTACCCTAATTCCTCTTTGGCTTCAGATATGATGCGCTGTAGCTCCTCTTGGCTCAGCTCAACCTGAAATTAAATATATGTATTGAATTTAAAAAAAAAAAAGGTCACGACAGCGCACAATACTGCACGCTTCGTTCAGTTCTCGTTAATATTAGAAATCAAGGGTGAGTTACAGACAAAAACGTTTATTTTATTGCTTACAAGATAATAAATAAGTTCGTGTTGACACGTTAGCCGGAGGCTAACACCTTTTAGCTCCTCCATTATCTTTGCTCACCTTGTCCGGAGTTTCTTTGGCCGCTCCTCTCTTTACCCAACCGACGCATGTTATCTGAGAACTCATGGTTAAAACGTGAATTATTTGAATGTACCAAAACAAGTCTTCAAACTGTCAGGACTCATGCACACAGTGGGTGTACATGTGAGTAAAAGGGTCCTTGTGTCGCAGATAGATTACGTCAGGAGGACGAAAATTGCCTGACTAAAAAAAAGGAACATAAATGTAAATGTTACAATACATTCCCTTTTTAGATTCAGTATTAATTTATAATAGAAAAAATGCGATTAGATTAGATTGTGTAATTATTTTAATTGCTCTCTGTATTCGTATAAACCAAGAGAGGCAATACATACATTGTATTGAAAGTTTTGTACTTACAAACTTATATAAAAAAATAAAGACCAAAAATGAAGTATGTTATAAATTTTATATATAAAAAGAATTTATTGGCACTTGGCAAAAACATAAAAACAACAGGCATATGCATCAGCAGACTATGAATCAGTGGTATATAATACAGTTTATGTACTTAGTGGCTACAGCAAACAGTTCAAATCAAAGGGCTGTACAATAATAAAACAATGGTAGTGGTCAGAGTTGTGGACAACAACACTGGAAATAGAAGTGACAAATGTCAAATCACATTTCAGATTAAGACAGAGAGTGAAACTGACATTAGCCATTTGCTAACAGCGGGCGACCAACTTGTCAAGCTGCCCTGACTCAAGCAACACTGTGTGAATCAGGTTTATAAAAAAAACAACTTTTACACTCTTCTTGCTAAGAGGTAGGAGTATCAAAGTAAACAGAAAAAAATAATCTTTTGTTCTTCACAGAAGGCCACTTAGTATCACAGGGGTAAAATTAATTAAAACTCAAGCTACTTGACTTCCATTTGTTGCCTATATTTAAAAGCTAAGTGGCTAATTGTCCCACTTTTTGAGCTAATCAGGGCTGAAACATTTAGTATAGTCATGTTTGATGTTTGGTGATGTTGTTGCTCAGCAAACCCTAAAGAATATTTGATACTAAACAAGAACAATTTAAATAAAAGTAAAATAGTGTCTCTTGATTTTTTTTTTTTTTTGCATTTATCCCTCAAAGATAAATCTGCTTTTGAATATGTTGCTAACTGCCAGGAACCTGATAGCTAAATATGTTTGTCAATTTCCTGTGAATACTTCTTCCAGGAGATGCAACCAGTGTGGCCTGTTACTAGACTGAATGCTTTGAGTTGTCTTTTGCAGGTCAAATGTAATAAACTTGATTAATACAACACAGGTTTAACATATTTCGGATGTACTGTAATACTGTTATCTCAGAGACAGTTAAGTAAAACCTAGTGAGGGGCAGGGTAAACATTAAAAAGAGTACGTAATTATTACATGAAGAGTGTCAGTGCTGAGGTATATATATAAAAAAATATAAATATACCCAAGAAATATGTATTTTTCTGAACATGGTGGTTACTTGAACACAATTATACTTTACATGATTTCAGGAGAAAATATTCCAATGCAATTTTCTTAGCTTTCCAACATTTTCAGTTCAATTCAGTTTCAAGCAAAGTCATAGTGGGTTAATTCAGTTTCAAGCAAAGTCATAGTGGCTGGTGATGTGTCGGTGGAACTAAAAGAGTGCAAATCAAAAAGCTGAGTTTAGGGACCATGAGCAGTCAGCAATGTTTTTTTTCTTTTCATTCTCTGTCTAACAGCCCCTCACAAGCTGCAGATGCCATCTATCTCAGGTCCTTCTTTATTGTAATCGTTTCCTATTTTGCTGGTCAGTACCACACCAGGGGGGTGAGGGATCCTGTCACGAGTCCAGCTCCAGCTCCAGCTCCACCTTCTCCACTCTGGTCACCGTGGTGTCATCGTCGGTCGTTCTCAAACGCTTGGTGACCAGCTTCAGGTTGGTCTCGTGGAGAATGACCTGGGTCAAGTATTTCTCTCTTTTGATCTGCTCTTTGACGGTGTATGGCACGTCTGGGATCAGGTAGGACAGGATGAACTTGGTAAAGTAGACAATGTGCTGTGAAACAGAGACACATTTTAAAATTCTACATAATTAGGATTCACTCTACGGGGGGCGGGGAGATTTTCCTGTTTTCTTTTTTGTACCAACCTCCACAACAATGATGAAAGCCATTTTTGCTGCCACCACGTGCCAGTAGTAGACGTTGTACTCATACTGTCTGGGATGTCCTGGAGGGTAGCGGAAATCTCGATACCTACAGAATAACATTTGCTTCATAACACACTCATTCAAACTTCCAGGGTTTTGAATTTATCTGTTAAAGAAGACAATGAAACATAGTATACGTAGTATATAAAACTATACTGCACCTGCAGGTAGTGATGGTTGTGCCATTATCCATGATGGGTTTGCTGCGGCTGGAGAAATCACTGGTGTTGAATATGGACAGTGAGCTGTTGATGTAGCCCTCCATGGTGTTGTTGAAGTGATCGTGGTACGGATACACAGAGAAAGACCAATAATACACCAGCCGTGGAATCATGTCTGACGTAAACGCTATGATCATGGCCTGTGGAAAACCAGAAAACCGGTTCAACGTCTTCATTTACCCCTAAAACAGGATTTTGTCTTGCACCAACGTGAATGCCTGTCTTCATGCGTACATTTGTCGCAACAGCCAAAATTGCAATGCCCTGGAGGATGGGCTGCCAGGCTCCGATGTCCTGAGCCTTCTCTGGCAGCACACGACGAAACTGGGTGGTGATTTTCCAAGCGTCCACCCGGATCTCGAAGAGGTTGTTGACCAGAGCGAGGACAGGGGCCAGCGGGAAGGAGGCCACGAACAAAGTCACAAAGCCAAACTGGATGACTGGACAGGAGCGAGACGATAAGACTTAAGAAAAACTGATGTTGATATAAATAATATCATATAATAAACATAGCTTCCTATTAGAAAACCATAAAAACGTAAGTAAGAAAAAAATTAAGAAAAATGATAAAATTTAAATAATGTTATTTTTATATTGCAGTCATTTTTATCTACTATTAATTTTGTTGAATAAAATAATTTCATATTTTGTCAACTAGAGCTGAAATCTAAATCAGTTCTACGGTCTACGTATATCTAGACTAAGACTAATGAACAATTAAGTCAAAAGATTATGATAATGATATGATAATTGTACTCGACATTGGCATAGGAGCTAATGAATACTAGCAAAATGCACATAAGAATGAAGGGTTTGTGTTGTTACCCATTTCCAGATATTCATAGAAAAGCCCTAATTTGGAGAAGGGCTGAAGCTGATAGTCCTGCTCCCAGCGAGGAACCACCTTCTCTGACGCCACACGGGTGCAGTAGCGAGAAATCAGGTTCTTCACCCACCTGCAGAACGTCAGGTAAGAAACCAATCAGAGTGTCACAAACGAGCTGTCAACCGTTGCCAACGTGTTAGGTGCGTGTTGACCTACGGCAGCAGCACTTCTTGGATGTTGTTCCAGATAGCTTTGCCCCCCATGATGATGGACAGCTGAGTGGTCAGCTCAATCAGACAACCACCGGGATCACACTGCAGCAACAGGACTCAGAGTTAGACACATTATAATACACATAATAATCATATTAATATTGGATCCAATCATGGTGTATTGGGCTCTTCTACTGAAAAATGTATTGTTTTATTACATTTGTTTCTGTTTACTACCCGGGTCGTCAAAGAATCGGAAATTAAGTGATTGGAAATTTCGGCAGAATGGATATCGGCAAAAAGTTCATATTGGTTTTAAAACTATCCCTAGTAAAAGTAAAAATGTTTATAAGAGTTTGCTTCCATTTTTAATTTTTTTCCGTCCGCTGTTTTCTGCAGCAGTCCTAGGCCCGCCTTAATGCTCTCATTGGTTGATTGTATGATGATGCTAGTTCCAAGACCCAGGGAGGGTTTGAAACGTTCCCAACCATAATGGTTTGGGAACATATTACACCTTAGGCATAATACCTTAATTAGTAGTAAAATAATAATAAGATTAGAAATAGAGAGGAGGAGAAATTTGACCTCTTCGTTCCTGTACTTTCCCAGCAGGTACACAGGTCGACCAGGATAGCTGACCGCCTTCCCTTTGATGAAGGCAATGTAGAAGCACGAAGAGTAATAGTTGACAAACTGGAAGAGGAACATCTTCAGGGTCAGGCTGTTCTCGTAGTCTGTCTTGGTGCGAGGGAGTTCTGGGGGTCGGCACAGAACCAAGAATAAGACAAGAAAACGTGTAAAAGTCGGACAAAGGACCGAGAACAAAAGCGAAACCTACCAAAGTCGGTGATCCAGATGGCGACGCGCTCGTACAGCATGTTAAGGATCATGATGACAATGAAGTTGATGAGGGACGCCGTGACCGCCGTGGCCATCTGAGGAGTCACGTACTCCTTTAACGGCTCCAGCTCCTTGAGCTCGTGGTTCCTGAATCGTGTGGAGAAGGAGAAGAAGACAGCGAGGCGGTAGACGGTGATGGCTACGATGGACGCCAGGATCAGGAATATCTAAAAGGAATTTGAAAAAGGTCTTTTTTAAACCGAGGAAGTAACTTTTAAAAAAAGGATGAGATAAATGAATAAATTTGGTATTGATATCTATATAGTGACTGGATATAACACACTACAATTAGATATGATACGACACAATACAACAGACATAGTATATAATTCACATTTCACATTTTACCCAGAATAGGACTGTCCCCGAACCTAGTGACACCCGAACACATCGTCCACAGGTGGTGTACGGAACTTTTTCTTTCACCTAAACCACAAACAAAGAAACACCATTAAAGGGCCAATTAATAAACCTAAGCAGTAAGATTACTGTAAAAGGTACATTTTTCTTTCAGTATTTAGCGCACAGTCAAATACACTGGAAACAAAACATTAAGAAAAAAGAAAAAATCTAAAAAAAAGTGTCCATATGTGATTCACCCCAGTGACAGGATTTTTCCTCTCGTAGATGCACTTGGCCTCGTACTCTGGTCGTGGAGGCTCCTCCTGCTCCAGGAACTCCACCGTGTCCCACTCATATTCCAGCTCTGCCTGGTAACGCTTCCAAAACTCCAGGAATAAAGTCACTGGACACGAAGCAGGGAAACAGTGACAGAGATGCAGCATTTTTTTTCTCCGTACAGTGTGCAGCTTCATCCATACACTCTTGAATAAATCAACGTGTTAAGAAGTGCTAAAAATTTAACAGTGCAGGTCACTGAAATATCACCTAAACAAACAGGATTTTGATTATTGTATGTTTTATATATTTTTAAAACATTGTGGTAAAAGTTGTGAAACTCACCCCAGACTGACATAAAAACTGCAAACACCAGCGTCCCAAAGTTGTCAAAAATGCAGAGTTTCTGAAACAAACGGAAAAGTCTTAAAAATGGATGGTTATCGATGCAAATATTGATTCACTCTGTGTCTAAGTCACAGCAGAGCAACTGACGTTCCACAAACTTTAAACCAGTGTTTCTCACTTTCGAAGCCTCACACGTGCTGTTCAACCTCCAGTAGTTGCAGAATCTGTCGCACTGCGGACACATGACTATGTTTCCTCCGATCTCAGGGTCGCACACCTCTTTGCTGCAGAACAGTGGAAGTGAAGTGGGTGAACATGGGTATGAATCCCTCCTCACAGTAGCACAACAGTGAATATTATCACTTTTCTCCTGAACAACCAAGACGGGTTCGAAAAAGCAAATAAAAGTTACATTTTGAGAGGAAGCCGCAGCATATCTGAAGTAGTTACAGTAAGCTCCAGCAGAGGGAGCTGTAACTGCTACTTCCCACTCAGCATAGCAGCAGAAGACAATACAATGCTTGTTTGTCAGCAGATCAAAATTATTTGAAGATGCTGTTTAAACTGTAACTGTAACAGTATTTATATTGAATACATTTTTTAATCTGTTTTTTTGTACTGAATCATTTTCCCACTGGATTTAAACAAAGAACCCTGAAAACAGCACTGAGTAGACTATAAAAGAGTAAAGTCTCGGGTCGGATGTCACGTACCTCCAAGTGCTGGTTTCTTGGGTCTTATATCCGTAGATGAAGCAGCCCAGTCCCACGACAGCAGCCACAGCCAGCATCACAGTGTAGAAACCCAACCAGGCGAAGTAAATGCCGATCTTCTCTCCGTAATACTTTCTGCAGTAAAGGCAAAGACAAATACTGTATGTCCTCCGTGTCCTGATGTCAATCAGATTTGAACCATGTTCATGAAGAGACCTCCAGAACTGTTCTTCACCTGATCAGGTCAAGTGGTTGTAACTTGTAGAAGCTTTTGGGATGAGCCCACTCCTGGTACAGCAGATACCTCTCACTGGGGCAACTCTGATCTTTGGACTTGACGTTGAACCTGCACTGTAGCATCAAAGACAGAAGAAGGCTCAAACACAGGAGTTGGACATAAATAAAGAAAATCAAGGTGTGATATTTTTCACCGGCCCCCCACCCCACACCCTCCCCTTCTTTCTCCCAAGCTCACGACATTTACCTACAGTACATACAGAGGCAAAAATCCACAGTACAGAGTGACTTACATCGTGAAGTGGATAGGCAGCTTTGTACACACCACTGTCCAACAGCTTGGTGATGCCGAACTTCTTATGACTTCCTCTTACCTCGTAGGGGGCACGACTCAGGATGTAATAAGCCTAGAAAAAACAAAGATAAAATGATTAATGTGTCGTCAAGTTATCGTCAGGTTCAGTGGTAAATATGTACAGTGGAGATAGTGCACTGTAGTATCAGGTGTGGTCACACGTAGTTCCTTTTAGCTTGGTGATCTCAGTGACATCTCTACAAAAACCATTTAACCTTCTGTACAGAGGTGGAAAGGATTTAAAAGGACCGCCCAACGTGGGGCTCGAACCCACGACCCTGAGATTAAGAGTCTCATGCTCTACCGACTGAGCTAGCCGGGCTGGTTTGTGTGCCTCTGTTGAGTTAATAAACAGGTTTAGACTGCAGCATGCTTTGGTTAGGTTTGGAAGAATTTAAATCTCCTCTCTTGATGTTTATCAGTTCTCACATTCAACAGTTCTCTGTTTATGTAAACTGGACCAACTGGCCAAAACACACTAGAGATGATTTCCTTCCAAAGAAACGCAACGAGTGTGAGCACACCCTTATGGGACCGACTGCAATAACATGTGGCAACTTGCCATCCTGCTCCTCATGGACGGAGTGAAGAAGTTGTCCGGGTTCTTGATGTAGAAGTACTCAAGGCGGTCTTTCTCAAAGGGGGCGGTGAAGTACTCCGTCTCCTTGCTGATGAGCTCTTCGTTAGGGTAGAAGTGCTTGGTGATGCAGGAGAAGAAGCGCCACGGGGACGGACGCGATGCCAGGTCGTTGGGCTGGATGGGGAGCTTGATGTGCAGGACTTCAGCGTAGGTGCAGAGCACGTCCCACGGCATGTGGACCTTGACAAACATCCGTTTCTCATCCACGACCTGCAGAAGAACCAACAAAGTTGAGGATGAGTGTGAAAGACTACGTTCACACCGCGGTGACAAATGCAGTGTAGACAGTGTGGAAAAATCCAATAAATAATCAAATAAATCGTACGTACAGATTTTGTGGCCTCCAGCTCCATTCCCATCTTCATCAGACTGGCCTCAAAGTATTCCCTTCGTCTCTACACAGAAGTACACAGAAAATGACTTTCCAATGTTTGTTCATCCACGTACGACAAATTAAACAGCAGAGCGATAGTCACAATAACGACAGTGAAATAATCCATGAACAGCCCTGCAGGAAGTTACTGGTCTGAACTATTCTCTGTTACTTCCTTTCACACCATGATCAAACATTAGCAACAGCTTAGCACAGACCAGTTTTGAAATATCTTTATTGCTCAACACATTTTTTATTTATTTCTGGTTTAGAGTCAATAAAAGTGTATTTATATATTTTTATACTATGTATTAATCTGACACGTTTCTTTAAACTATTTCCTTGGACAAATGGATTTAGTTTTTACATGTGGTGCATGTATTTGAACAGTGTACCATGTTAAAGTCCCTAGAATTGTCTTTGTTTATACTGTACATAGTGACCATTGAATAAATACCACCAACAAGTCTGAGCAGGTTTTGTTTTACGTTTTTTTTTCTCTACTTGGCAACTTCAGCTCTATTGTTATGTTGACATTTGACCAAACTTAAACATCGCTCCTGTTTGTTTTAGCAGAACCTTCCTTCATGGTGTTCAGGAAACTATAAACTGTAACTATAAATGAATTTAGCATCGTTCTGATCTAATAAACAGGCCTGCTCCATCTGATCTGGGGCCACACCCTCCCTATGGACTGGGCCTAATGCAGAAAATCTTTTAGAAACAGCTGTTCCAGGGTGTGCCAGGCAGAGACGTCCGTCTTCCTCATCCCCCTCTGGATTTACTTTGGCTCAGAAACCAGGACTTGCCTCAGTCAGTCATGTGATCTTGAACATCAACATCAACATTTCTATCGATCCTGATCACAGATCTAAACAAATCACTGTGGTACCGTTTCAGCCGACACATCACGGAGACACCATCTCAGAACCATATGATAATTACAGATGCAACACTGTGGCGTAACTATGGTCTGTGGGTCGGCAGTGTTGCCCAAGGGTTGCGTTACACATCCCTTAGTGCAGACTTGTTGTGACAGACAGTAACTAACAACACACCTGTCTGTGAGCCAACCACGTGAGTTCTCAAAACTCTTTATTGTTTCCTGAGAATATTTATATTTTATATTTTTTATATATATTTTATAATTATAATAAAAATAATATATTTAGACAAACATGGAATTAAGGGTCAGAGCTTGAAGCATTTGATATTTTATGAATGTTGTGAAATTGTTTATGAATTGTCAATTGAAAATTGATATTTTATCATATTTTCCTGCAACTTATGTCCCAAATAATGAGTCTGTTAACCTTAAACATATGTTAAATATAAACATCCTGTCAACTAAACCAAAACTCACAGGTTGCAGCTCTTAACAGATCAGACCAAGAACATCAGTGCAGTGGAGGTTGTGTCCAGGTTGAGTTCCTTGACAGTGTTGCTGAATAAACACTGTTTAATCCTGTTGCAAATAAAACACCCTTCACAAACAAACACAGGTGACGACCAGAAGTTCGCATCGGTACAGGTCACTTCATAACTGACTGTACATGTTGCACGAATCAGTGAACTTGTACTGCACTGCTTTGAATAATACTGAGAATGAATAGCGCCCTTCATTTAGAAGAATATTTATACATGTATTTCAAGGGAAGCAGACAGATCGTTGGTACTAAACATAAGGAGCAGGGGAGTTTTTGTTGACCTACAAGGGCTGTGGTTCAAACCAGTCCAATCCTTGAACCACTACACCATGCACTGTGACCCATCTGTGGGGCTCAACCCAAAGTTTGACAAACACTAATCTGATCCGGCCAAGAAATGAAAAACGAATTATGCAGAAATACTGGAGAACCTACTTTACGTCTCTGGAACGTGTGCCTCTTCTCAAACTCCTTCTTGTCCTCGTCTTCATAGACCAGGATGAAATCGATCCGTCTCACGCCGTCATTGAAGAAAAGGGAGTCGGGTTTGTCGTTAAACTCCGCCTGGGGACAGAAACACAGCTCTGCAGGTAAGTCCGCAGCCTGAAAGTCAAACTCGTCTTCAACCATCGTGCCGTACATGGTGGAAGGTGCTGAAAAGGTGAGGACTGTAGGCAAAGCAAACTGCTGAATGTCGACCTTGATGCTGGGCATACAGGAGCCATGGATAATGTCAACAAACTTTGTGATTCCCGCCCCATTGTTTAATCTCTCTCTCTCTCTCTCTCTCTCTCTCTCCACCATCGTCATCTCACTGTGTATATTCATCCTGCAGTCACTCTTCTCACCTTAATCCCTGACAACACTATGCAGAGTTGTTGTCATATTTAAACTCCAGTGGGACTGTGTGGACTCACCTGTTGTGTTATCCGTACTTTGGCTCCTTCTTTTATTGAATGATATGTTGGTAAGAACTCCTCGGGATAAACTGTAGAAAAAAAAACATAAGAAAGAGAAATAAATAACACGTAATACATTTTTTTAAGAGATCTAACATCCTCGAGCCGTTATCAATATTTGCGTTTGTATTTAGGCCGTCACATGATGAAAATGTTTAATCCAATTAATCACGGGGTTGCTGCGGAGTGATCAAAATTATTCATGATTATTTGAGCTACGTCAACATTTCTAACCATAAAAAAATAGCTGGAACAGGAATATAAATAAAAGCAAGTTGATGTTTGAAAAGAAAATGAAGTTTAAATATATCAATAAAATTAAGCCTAACTCAGATGATGGATTAAAAAAATAGTAAAAAGTGTCGAGAGTTTGTTTAATGTTGTCCTCAGGGAGACGTTAAGATGGTATTTTGGACCAGGTGTGTGCTGGAATTATTGGTTGTACAGTGTGCGTCATTCATTATATGCATTAAAATATTTAATCTGAATAATATCACAACTTCATTAAAGCATACTGACTGGTACTACCGGTATTCACAGCTCTAGTGTCATGTCATTCATTCTTGATGGCCTGTGTACTAGAGAAAGTTGTAGTCTGAAGTTTTGTTGTTTTGTTATTTAATTCACAATTAAAGGGTTTGATATGACTTAGGTATGAAGTAAACCACGAGGTTTAGTTTGAAGGTCTGCCTCAAATTCCTCTCTGAGTCAGCTGTGTTACGTCATCCTGGATCAGCTGCTATTTTTCTACAGGTCATCTGACACAGTTTTATTTCCAGCGAAGAGAAACACCGGGCTTCTTCAGACAGAGTCTGTGTGAACAGAAATCTCAGGTTTGAATGACATAATTAGGTGAGTGGATAAAATCAACAGCTGACATGTAGTTAATGCTGCGCCTCGGCCCTGAGAATCTAACATCAGTCAGACTATAATAATTCCCGTAACTCTGTCTGATTTTATTTGGAGCAATGTTTCCTTAGATCCTCAACTCAAGTGCAAAAACCGGGGTCTTTCCGTGTTGATACAAACAAAGGTCACTTGACTGTCAGTGTTTGTTATTGTAATGGTTCTGCAACATTGCTCTTGGAATGTTGGCGCTGCTTAAAGCCATTGTGCACCTGGAAACATTCAGGAGTGTCACGTAGTTCGTAGAAAGGTGGAGAACATTTAAAGTTCTCTGTTAGAATAGAGCGGTTGAACTGTTTTCAAAGGTTTTAAGTAAAATATACAAGTATGGGGAAAATACAAAGATGGTCTGCAAGATTAATGAAAAAAGAAAAACAATATAACCAGAGGCTGCTCACGGCACACCACCAAACAAAACTCTCACAAAACGTATACAGTATGTAATGAAATAAAATCATCTTCTAGTTTAAATTACTTCATAATAGAGTCTGTTTAGATAAAGACAACGCTAATATACTGGCAGGAATTAAAGAAAGGCACACACAAAGGTCTTCTTCAACAGCTCTGATTATTTTTTTTTTAGTTTTAATAGTCATATGCTGCCATCTAGCAGAAGAGGATTTAATTGCTCTGCCTGTCACGCCTTGACAAAAAATATTTGCAGTAAATAAATAATAGTTTTGGGACCAATTAAGTGACATTGGATAATTTTTCACAGCACATCTAATGTTCTCTTACATTTTACTCTAAGTTTAAGGCTGGTCGTCTGTTTCAGGGTTTGACCTGTTGTGCATCCAAGCAAGGCTTTTCTGAATACTGTGAATGAAACTGGTAGTTATCAGTTAACTGTTTCCCTGTTGTCATCTTGAACCAGTTGGATTTTTCTCCTCTGACTTTAACACACTGCTTTTGCTTAGAAAAGAAAGCTGTTGTAAGTGTGAGTTTAAATTGTTGCTTGTCTCTACAGGTGGCCCAGTGATGGCCTGGTTACATGTACAGTGTGTATCCCACACTCACTCAATAAATGCTGGGATTTGCTCAAGTTCTGATCGTGACCCTAAAAAATATTGAATTTTAAAAGGTCATCCCAGGACATTGTGTACCAAAAACCAGGTCCACATGAAAGATGGTATGATAAGATAGGCATATGCATTCACAGCAGCTCAATAGGTGAGCCGTTAAATAGCCATTGGTTATAAAGGGACTATAGATTATCCAAGGTCACTGCACCTTTTCACTGTTTCCAAAACTGAAGATTTGACCTAGTGACCTTTCTTTGACAAGCCTGTTTTCCAAACACCGTGCTGGTCTGACAAGCTGCACTCCACAGTCTACCCACTGCATTCAACGATCACTGTGGGAAACACTGACTAAGAAATGAGCTTGTAGTTCAGACTGCAATCATACCATGATTGACTGTGTCCTCTGCTATGATCCTGTCGTCCTCAGGAACACATGAAGAACAGATGAAGCAGCATTTGATTCGGAAAAGTTCCTTAATATTTCCATTTAAACTGGCCGTTCATGAGGAAACTAAGCAAAACCACATGTTGTTTTCAAAACACTTGCCTTAGTTACAGCCTGGGAAGGACTTGCTTTCAAATCTCTTCCTCTTGCAGCCACCCTGATGAATTAGTAACTGTCATGAGCTTTTCATTCACCTTCTGCATTCAGTAATTAACACATCGTGTCATTACTGAAGTCACATGAAAGACGGGGAACTCATAGCAAAACAACATCCCTACTGTTGTGTTGTTCGTCGTGTTTGATTCAAAACACAAATGATGTCATTTGTGCCTTGCTGTTAACACTTTGGTCTGTAATGTGGCTACGATGCGGAACGCCTTCTGGAACACAAAAACGAACAGCAAAACAAAATCTCAGGGAGAACGGAAACCGTTTCAACCACACGGCTGCAGTGATGACCATAAAAAAGTACCCACGGCTGACACTGCCCGACCTCATTTCCTCTCTAGAGCACATCCGCACTTTATGCTACAAGCAAACAATTGAGTACTTGTAAGGATTTCCTCATCCTTAAACACAGTCGCCCTCTTATAATATTTAGGCATTTCGTTGGACCAATGACATTAGCCCAAAACCCTGGAACCCAGGAAATTCCTGCATCAAACATGGGAACATGAATGATGACGACACAATGGCAGACGCTTGGTGTGATCTGGTTTTAATTAAAGCACAGTGAAGAGATGTTGACGGAGCAACACTTCTACCAAACATGTCCATTACCAGAGTAAAAAAATAATGTGTGAGTGTTCAAAAAAGAAAAAGAAAAACGTGAGCTTCAAAAACTCTCACTACACAACAATTGGATAGGGTTGCAATACCTTGCAATATGAGTGAGTCTTCCAAAAAAAAAAGTGAGCTTCAAAAACTGTTTTTCTCTCACTACATAACAATTGGATAGGGTTGCAATACCTTGCTATACCACATGAGGTTGTGGTTGGCTACCCCCGACAGCCTTGAACCGCATCAGTGTATTTCTGTCTTGTTTTCACATATTGCAGCTAAGTTTGTGTACTACTAATGGATCACATCTGCTCCATTGTTCAGAAATCCCTTCAAGTTTATAGTTTTAGCACAAGTTTTTGGCACATGTTTTCTTGTCGACGA